GATGAGATGAGGCTGACATCAGCATTTTTGTCAGCAATATTGACATTTTGAAAACAATGGTCCTTGCTTTCAAATTGCCCAAGAAAAGGTATTTTCAATATTGAATATATATAGCAGTAATACCCATCAGCCACTCCTCGGAAGGAAGGTTGGGCAATCTACTTCTGCAGTGATACCGCCTCGGAAACCCAAGGAGGGGTCGTTATGAGTCGGGTCTGACTTAATGGCACATAACAACAACAACAACAAGCAGTAATACTGAATTTATATAGCAATCATAAATAAGGAGGGAATTTTCAGGCCTACAAACATTCAAAGTTTATCTTCCATGTAGCCTTTATAAGGAAGTTATCTGAAGATACTCCAGCAAAACTCTTATCACACTGTCCTATGACTATTTACTTGTCTGTGTCCTCCACTATATTGTTCACTGTTGAATTCTTGGCACTAATATAGTGCCTGGCAGCAAGCAGGCATTCAATAAGGAAGTACTGGCACAAATTACCCCCATAAACGTGGGAGACTAACACAGAATCCCTCTCAGTTATGAATCCCTGGACAAACTCTGCTGTTTCAGAATAATGACCTCATGATGAATCCTCTTCTCAGCAAACTCTACCCAGTTTTTAAAGCTCAATTAAATTCCACCCAAGAAGCCCTCTCCAAGTACTCCAATCCCCAAACATCTCTTTTCTGTTAATTCCTATGGCATTTATTTCGATTATATACTGTTACATTGTTTATTATGTTTGATTAAAGTATATAATCTCTTGATTATATATTGTTTTATATGTCTAATCACAGTTCTTCAAGTGGACAGTAACGTCACTGAGGAAACACTTTGCCTCACATGTACCTTCAGAGCAAGGAGCTCAGGAATACCTGCTAATTGGCTGGCTGCCTGTAACTGGCAACCAAAGAATCTCATCACTGAGGCCAGGATTAAACCATTTTTTTATAACCTAATTTCAGTCAATCAGAATACATACTAAAACGATGATCTGCACTGCAGACAATGTACTTGCAGTAATGGAGCATGTTAAAATTATGCATTATATATTCTAGCTGATGATTGTAACTCTACAATTCAGCATTTAATAAATATTTGTTACATGCCTACTATATGACAGGCTCTGTTTTTATAATGCATATAAACTGTTCAAGAAACCATCACAGCTGGTTCTCAGAAAAACCACAGGGTTTTGTTTTGCTTTGTTTTAAATCACATTATTGTGCTTTTTGTGAAAGCTGACCAACAAATTAGGTTTCCAATTAATAATTTCTACACAAATTGCTCAGCAACATTAGTTACATTTTTCACAATGTGTCAACATTCTCTTTAACTACATTCTAGTTGTTCCATTTCCAGTACTCTAGTTTCCCTGTCCCTTTATATTCTCACCTTTGCTTTAGAATAATTCTTGACTTTTTGAGGTGAGGCTGACATCAGCATTTTTGTCTCACATACATGGTTTTAAAACCACATGGTTTTATCAGAAATAACACATTCTTCAAACACAATCTTATGCAGAATTCCCAAATTCAAACAGATCACAGAACACTCTGGCAAAAGCTTAGGGTAAGGCCCAGAGCTCCATCTATTTAACCTTCCCCTAGACCCAGACCTGAGGAGACCTGTGATGAAAAAATCGTTGCTATCATTGTTGTCAGGTGTCATCGAGTAGGTTCTGACTCACAGTGACCCTTTTGTACAAACAGAACAAACATTGCCCAGTCCTGCACCATCCTCACAATCGTTGCTATGCTTGAACCCAATGTCGCAGTTATGTCAATCCATCTCGTTAAGAGTCTTCCTCTTTTTCACTGACCCTCTACTTTACCAAGCATGATGTCCTTCTTCAGGGACTGGTCCCTCCTGATAACACATCCAAAATACGTGACACAAAGTCTCACCATTCTCACTTCTAAGGAGCACTCTGGCTGTACTTCTTCCAACATGGATTCGTTCTTTTGGCAGTCCACGGTATATTCAATATTTATTCTTCACCAACACCATAATTCAAATGCATCAATTCTTCTTTGATATTCCTGTATTCATTGTCTAGCTTTCAATGAAAAGACTAAACCATCTAATTAGACAACTTAGTTTTACAGAAGAGAAAACTGAGGTTAGGAAGATTAAACGGTTTGCCCTAAACCACATCCCCAGTCAGTCACAGAATTAAGACTAGAAGGCAGGTCCATCATTTATGCTAAAATGTGGATTATGATTCAGTATATCTGGGGTGGAAAGGCAAATTCTCTGCAGGGGGTCAAACCAGAATGAGCTGGTTCAAAGCCCTGGGTTAGATTTCATGACAGTCAAAGGTAACTAAATCTTAGCCCCACTCAATTGAGGTAATGAAGACAGCAACCTAAAGGCTCAGTCCCAAAAAGTTTTAGAGCCAAACAATCAGACACCATTCTCACTACTGATACAAGCCTAGAATTAGTCTTGCTGTTGTAATGAGCAGAAAGAGGAGGATACTGGCACACACTAGTGAGTGGCCTGTACATTCAAATAGCAAGTCTTCTCCCCAAATTACATACATAGTTTCCCTAGGCTGTATGATTGATTTCTTCATAATATTCCACTTCCCAACTGGTATCTCACTCCCACCCTATGCCCCAACCTAACAGGCTAGTGACCTGACAACCTACTTTGTAGCCGTTTATTCTCCTGGAGCTGAACTCTTCCCCATAGGTTTCATTGTTATCAGGAAACCTACTTCAAAATAACCAAAACTCTGAAACCTACTTGCCTACTACCTGAAGGGTCACTATTATCACTAGATAGGAATATCTGCTACCATGTCCTGTCTTCTTTCAGGTGGTGATGTAAATTCACTAAGCCACGTTGGACATCATGATTTGCACCATTAGTCAATCTACTTGAATAGTTAGTTGCTCAGCCGAGACAGGTAATAAAACAATGTATTAGTCTTTTTTTTCTAAGCTTTTGTTTTTCCTACTAAGGAGCTGTGGTGGCACAGTGGTTAAGCACTCAGCTGCTAACTGAAAGGTCAGCAGTTTAAACCCACTGGTCTTCTCTGTGAGAGAAAGATGAGGCACTCTGCTTTAGTAAAGATTTACAGCCTTGGAAATCCTATGGGGCAGTTCTACTCTGCCCTATAGGGTCACTGTGAGTCAGAATCAAAGCTATAGCAGTGGATTTGGTTTTGGTTCTCCTTGCTTACTTCTTTTCCCCCATCAGCTGGTCACAGGTTCTGACATCTGTCATGAAACAAGACTGTGTGGCTTATGACAAGTAGCACTTATAATGTCACAAGAAATAAGCACAATTATTGGAATTATAATTTCTGTGAATGTTGCATACATAAAATGATGAATGGGAGGAAAACAGTTTAAAACACCTTTTATTAATATGAAAGGAAAATAAATATTTGATATATATTTATATAAATGTTACTATTCTTTCAGAACTCAAATAAAGAATTTGTCTATGATCTTTTTATCAGACTATAAAATGTTTACCAGGCCTTCCCTTAACTACTAATATATTAACTACATATCTGACATCAATAGCCAATATTAATGCTACAGTATTAATGCTGAAGGCTAGATTACATTACTCAAGTTTTTCATTTTCTTCAATCTAACATCTTTAAGTCATAAGTAATTTCTTTTTAAAATTATTTTTCTCATATTCCAGGATACCTCCACACTTAAAAAGGTATTTTTAAATGAAAAATGTCAGGCTGGTAGCCAAAAATATAGCTACATGCTGATGACAGCATGTACTTAGTCAACACAGATGATACTCTTAGATAAAGAAACACAATACAAGTTCATTTTCAATTCCTTAATAGACTACAAAACATAATCTATTAGAGTCAGTTCTACAAAGTATCAAAAGTAGTACTATCCTGGATCAGAAAAAATTACTGGAAAAGACATTATTGGGATAATTCAATGGTTCTCAATTAGGGGCGATTATGCCCTCCAGGGGACAATTTAGCAATGTCCAGAGACATTTCTGGTTGTCACCTGGGAGAAGGAGAAAGGCCCCTACTAATATCTAATGGGTAGAAAGCAAGAATGCAGCTAAATATCCTACAGTGCACAGGACTGCCCCTACGGTGCAAAATATCAAAGGGATGATGTTGAGAAACCTGTGACAGGGATGAAATTTGAATATGAATGGCATCATATCAATGTTCAATTTCCTGACTGAATTTAATAATCTTCCTGTAATTCCATAAAAGAATGACTTTGTTCCCAGGAAATACATGTCAAAGTACTTAGGATACAGAGCATATTTCAACTTACCTGCAAATGGCTCAAAAAAATAACATGTATATATAGAGAGAGAGAAAGAATAAAGCAATGGGCAACTGGTGGATTTGGGTACAGGATATAAATAAATTCTTTTTATTACTCTTATAATTTGAAATCACATAAAAAGTATTACCATTCTTATTACTGCCTAATAACTGGGCAACTTTCCCAGTATATACATATATGTAATACAGGAAATCAGCTTTATTTAACTACTCTCCCAAAAGAAATTATAATATCTTGAGAGGATATTTGCAAACTTGACAGAGAGAACTAAATAAGCTAAATCCTAAACTTTGAACTACAGAGACAAAGCTAGAAATATGTAGTAGATGTCTACATAGAATATGACATATTTTAGAACAGCACAGTAAATGCATGCCCTAATTCCTGCATTATGTATTTCAGACTTTCAATACACACTGAAAACTGAAATCATTTAGAATCATATAAGTTCTGAACACAATCAGTAGAAAAGAATGTATAAGAAATAATATGAACAGATTTATAAGAGTCAGATTTTCAGAAGTTTAAAATTAGTTCTGAATTCTTAAAGCTGATCATTCCTATTTCTTGGCACTTATTACTTAAATAGCGTTTGACAAATATACAATAACAACTTCATAAATAATAACAGTCGTTTACTTTTGGAAAACAACAATTAAGAATTTTAAATCTAAGAAAAAATGTAGGGCACTTACAGATGTCTGAGACATACTTGACTGTTGTGTGACACTTCCTGTGGGGGAAGTAGAAGGTCTTCCACTGGACAAACTTGCCTAAAATAAAAAGACCTTTATAACAATACATCTATAAAAACCTGAAGTTAAAAGCTATCCGGTACCAGGATAACACAGAATCACAACAATAATTCAAAAAGTCTATGCACAAACCAATTCATTTTATGATCAATATGACTTAAGCTTTGGTCAAACGGATTTTAAAAAAAGAAAAAACTGACTTGTGAAAAGAGAGGACCAAAAAGCTAACCTTATTTTATTAACTGCATCCATTGTCAGTTTCACTCTACAGGTTTCTGTCATCTTTGAAGTGGAATCGCCACTCCAATATTATGAAAGAGAAATTGGCGCTACATCAAGGTCTCAGTTTCCTAACTCAGATCATGAATACAATGTTATTTAAAATTTCACTACCAAGAAAAAGCAACAGCTGGGGATCTGCTGATAACAGAAAAAGCTTTTTTCAGGGTAAGTCACCAGAGATCCCAGATGAATCTACTGGGGTGATTTAAGACTGAATCACACATATAACAGTTTTATTTAAATGACAGTACAATAATAAAATAATTTTAAAATTAATCATAAAATCATCCTGTGTTCACTAGAAATAGTATGATTAAATTTTAGAAAGGTACCTATACATATTAGCAAGTAAAAAATTTCTAGAGGACAACTATTGGTCTCTACGCATCTGGAACAAAAGAGAAAAAAGGAAACAAAAAACTCAGAAGCAAGTAGTCTACAGGACTACTGGCCCACACAAACCATGGCTTCCTTTATCCTGGGACCAGAAGAACTAAGATGCCCAGCTACCACTACCAACCATTCTGATCTGGGCCACAATAAATGAATCCTGATAGATGGGGAGAAAAACGTGGAAAAGAATTCAAATTCTTAAAAAGTCCAGACTTACTGCTGGACAGGTTGAAAATAAAGAATTTCCTGAGACTATCACCCTAAGAAACTCTGAAAACTGTAAACTGAAATTATCCTTTGAGGTCACCTTTCACCTAAATAACAGACTGACTCATAAAGTATATCACCTGTGAATAATGAGCACCTTTGAAAAATCATCTATATGAGACCAAATGGTTAAAGATTCCTCTAAAGCAAAGATGAGAAGGTAAAGAGGCAGGGAAAGTAGAGTACTGGAAATGGTACAACCAGAATGGAATGAATGAGAATGACCACACACAGTGAAAAATGTAACCAACACTATTGAATAATTTTTGTAGAAACTGTTAAATGGGAACCTAATTTGCTGTGTAAACTTTCACCTTAAACACAGTAGAATATTACTTTTTTTCCCCCCCACCCCTGAAGGAATTTGTATCAAATGAAGTCCCTGGGTAGAGCTTGACTGCTAGCCAAAAAGTTGGCAGTTCAAACCCACCCAGAGGCATCTTGGAAGACAGGCCTGGCAATTTGCTTCTGGAAGGTCATAGCTTTGAAAACTGTAATGGAGCAGTTCTACTCTGCACAAGTGGGTCATCTGAGTGAGAATCGACTCAATAGCAACTGAAAACAACAGAATATTAAACTGTTACAATGACAACCTTTCAAAAGTATAAAACAGCAGTGGGTGTGGAAAAAAAATATCTTTACTTTATTTGCCTTTTATAAACAATTTTATACTGTTTAATATTTTTAATGGGTAAACTATTTACATAATTAAAAATTTTATTTTTTGTTCAAATATAAGTATAATTCATGTAACTTGACTATTCATTATTATTCCTAGAATTTTATACACAAAGCTATGCCACTAGCATAGCATTTCTGCAATGTATATAAAAAAGCATTGGAAAAGAGGCTAGCAACAGAGTAACTTATAAAACATTATTCTTTTCCTAATAAACTTTTGACAGATTATTAATATATTTCCTTAAGGAAAAATAATCACAGGATATCTGAGAACTCTGAAAGCATATCCTGGTGGTGTAGTGGATAAGGCACCTGACTGCTAACTAGAAGGTCAGCTGTTCAAACCCACCAGCTGCTCCACAGAAGGAAGACTGGGCAATTTACTTCTGTAAAGATTTACAGCCTTGGAAATCCAAGGCGGGTCACTATGAGTTAAAAACAACTTGATGGCAGTGAGTTTGGTTGGTGAGTTTTAAACTTATTTTCAGTAGTCATCTACAGATAGTTCACACTTTAGTCTTCTAAATTCTTAATTTGTATCACTCTTACCTGAACAGCTGCAAGGCTCTGAAGCTGGGAGCTGCTTAGATGCTGCTGCTGAAGAGCTGCAGTGTGAAGCATCAAGTGCTGTTGTTGTGCTGCGTACATTTGCTGAAGGTACTGAGCAGCTGAGCTGGGGGGGCGATGCAATGCCTGTTGAATTACCTGTGATAAGCCAATTGAACCAATGTCAAACCAGTTTTAACTTTAACCATAAAATAAAATATAAAAAAAGGTGGCAGCTTGAAATTTCACTATATTGATAATATCCTATGTCATCAAGTTTATTAACATATTTATCTCCCAGTTATTTATCCCCAGGATTAACTAATTTGTTCAAATTAAAATTACCCAATAGAAGCAATGTAAAAAGATGAAATGACTAGAAGTAATAGAAAAGATCTTCAATCTCACTAGCAGTCAAAGATTTACAAATTAAAACAGGGTACTATTTCTCAACTTTCAGATAGGTAAAGATTTAAAAGAATACTACTCCTAACTGGAGAAACAAATACTTATAGACACTGATAGTGAGAATGTAAACTGGTGTAACAAATTCATAGAATTCAGGGCTTAGGTGCACACAGGAATATTTTTATTATATAGCCACAGCCTTGGAAATCCAATGGGGATTGTTGCTATGAGTCAGAATCAACTTGATGGCAGTGAGTTTGGTTTGGTTTGGTTTTTTGTAGCCATTACAAATAGTAATGTAGATTACAACTGTCCAGTGTGATAGCTACTATCCACATATGTCAACTAAGCACTGAGCACTTAATACATGGCTAGCACAATTAAAGAACTGACTCTTTAATTTTACTAAATTTTACTTTTCACGTAAACAACCCCATGTAGTTAGTGGCTACTATTGCTGGACAATGCAGATATAGATCTGTATTTATTAACAGGAAAAATGTTAATGAAAAATGTTCCTAAATAAATCATTAGGTGAAAAAAATTACTAAGTAGTATATGGAGTAAGATTCCATTTTTAAATGAAAATATTTGAAAGACTATTCAGGAAAAGATTAAAAGACAACCAATAGGTGGCTAAAGTAGAGGTCACTTTTACTTTCTTTTTTTTGTACTTTTCTATAAATGTCTGAAAATCTTAAAATAAGTAGATATATAAATTATCATATAAAATTATAAATCTATTTCTTAATTACTAAATAATTACTTTTTAAAATGTTTTTGGTCTTAGATTCCTTATTTCAATTGCTTCAACATAAAATCTATCTTACTAAAGAAACATTCCTGAAGAAGTGCTAATTACTGTGAATATTTATTAGCAAAATGTAAAATCTGAGCCTGAAAGTTCACTGAAAAAGTCAAGTATTCTAATAAAAATGGGTAAAAATTCTCTATCTGTCCAAAAGGAAGACAGACTACTCCAGTTTTCCGCAACCATATCCTAAAGTCGTATCATTCCCAAATGAGACACTGAAACACAGCACAGAACCCTACCCTTAATATGAAACCATAGAGTCCCACTAAGTTTTCAAAAACCTACGGGAGTAAATAATAGAGCATAACCCTACCATGTGAGGGTCTAAATCAGGACATCTTGAACCACAAAGCCATAAATCCCTTTATCCAAATTCCAAAAAAGAGCGTATTTCTTTGTGCTATTGTTTACTTTCATGTGCTCATAGCTCATTTCTGTCTCCAACTACAGACTGCTAAACCTGCTACAAACTCCTGTCACAAAAATCAATGTAGGCTTTTAACCCCTACTTAGAACTTACATAGGCCAGCATTTAAGTGACTGAGAATTAAATGGGTATGTCTTTTTGGTCAGATAAATCTATACATGTTCTTCTAAATTCCGTAACAAAATTCTAAAATCAAACAGAAATAACAAACAAATAATCTATTTGACACAAATTTTTGTCCGAGTGTAATACTTTTTCCTGTTGTCAGCACAGTCTTTCATTAACATTCAATGCTCTATGCACAGGAGCCATATTCTTTAAATACAAATTAAAGATGTACCACATGGTTCTTATTTTGTTCCTCTATAAGGAAAGAGAAGGGCAGGCAAAATTGAGAATTCAAAGTACTGAAAAAAAAGGCTGGAAGATTAAAGAACTACCTAGGTAATTCAATCAATATGGATTTCACTGCATTTTAGGGGAGACAATTCAATGATCTCGTAAGAACTAGAGTTAGTGCTATTCATGAGATACATCTTTACCTATGGCTATGTATCTCCAGTAACATTTTATTTTTTACTAAAATAAACAGCTTAAGAAGGAAAAAAAAACCCTAGAAAACAAGATGGCATATTAAAATACCACATCATCTATACACTCTAGATAATTTTCCCTGTAGCTCTTATCTCAGAGAAAAGTGAAGGACATCAGAAGCACACTCTGCATTTCAGCTTGAATTTCTGCTGAACTGGCTGGGTCTCTAACAATTCTGATTCCACCCACCTTACAGTGACTTCATAAAATTAGATCCTAAACTATAGAAAAGTAAAATAGAATACAGACATGTATTCTTGAAAGCAGAGGGTAGGGTTATACAGCAGACAGGTAAGGTGTTTTCAGGGTACAATGGAATTCTGAGGATTCTAGAGAAAACAGGTACAAAGAGTAAGAGTAGTTAAAGGGACAAACTCTGGAGTCAGAGAATATACTAGTACATGAGTTTGGGAAAGTTACTTAGTGTCTTACTTATCTAGTGCTGTTATTACAGAAATAACACAAGCGGATGGCTTTAACAAACAGAAATTTATTTTATCACCGTTCAGGAGGCTGCGAGTCTGAATTCAGGGTGCAGGCTCTAGGGGAAGGCTTTCTCTCTCTGTCGGCTCTGGGGGAAAGTTCTTGTTTCTCCTGAGCTTCTGCTCCTGAACAATCTTCATATGGTCTGGCATCTTTCTTTCCCCATCTCTGCTGCTAATTTGTGTTTAATCTCTTTTATATCTCAAAAGAGACTGACTAAAGATATACCCTAGACTAATCCTTCTTGATTAACAAAGATAGCCCATTCCCAAATATGATTAAAACCACAGGCATAGCAGTTAGGATTTACAACACATATTTTAGAGCAACATAATTCAATATGTAACATTTAGCTTATTTAAAAATCAATTTTCCTATCTATAACAAAGAGATAATAATAATATATACTTCCTAGAGGAGTGGTGAAGATTAACTGAGATAATCCATGAAAAGCACTTCTCAAATTTTTGACACACAGCAATTATTCAAAAAATATTAGCTATTATTATTATTTATTAGGTATCTATAATGTAATCTAAATAAGACAGTCCTACATATTCCATTTAATCCTCATAAAAACTAATGAAGTAGGTGGTCTCATCCTCATTTTACAGTTTCCCAAGATTCAAGAAGATTATGACTCTCACTTAAGACTACATAGCTACTGCAGTTCCAACAAAGAGCATATCAAACCACAATGCCCAGACTCTTTATATAATACCATATTGTATCAACCTCCATTACTATAAACTACATTAACTTTCTTTCTCAACTAATCAAAAAGCCTAAGACTCTCCCAAGTTAAATAATCCCTTCCCCTCTACCTCTGAGAATGATTCCTCCTGCTTAGGACTCTAGGCTGAGTTTAAAATGAAACTCTTACTGCGTCTACCAAACAAAAAACCAAACACACTGCCATAGAGTCTGATCCAACGCATAACAACCCCTCCCTGGGTTTCTGAGGCAGAATCACTACAGAAGTAGATTGTGCAATCTTCCTTCTGAGGAATAGGTGGTGGGTTTAAACCGGCAGGCTTCTGGTTAGCAGTCAAATGCCTTAGGCACTACACTACCACAACGTCTACAGACCTAAATAACTCTCCCTAAACTTGTATTTTGATTTCAAATATGTATTCTGAAAATAGTCCTGAAAAACCTAGGGCCTTCGTGCATGTTGGGGCTCTAGTCTGAATGTTCTCACACTCTAGCAGTACCTAGAGACCTATTTTTTCCTGACACACACACAGTCTATAAGCTACAAGCTGATTAACATAAGTAGTGTAATTAGGGAACCCTGGTGTTTTTTTGTTTTTTTGTGGGTTTTTTTTTTTGGTGTTTGTTAAGCCCTTGGCTACTAACCAACACGTTGACAGTTATTATGAACCAACTCAGTGGCCCCAAGGGAGAAAGACCTGGCGATCCTCTCTTGTAAAGATTACAGCCAACAAAATCCTATAGGGCAGTTCTACTCTGTCACATGGGATCACTACTAGTCAGAATCAACCTAATGGCAATCAAGAACAATAACAACTAACAGTATGGTTATTAAGTAACTTTAGTGCTTGTGTCAAACTAACAACTCTAAGTAAACATTTGATATGAAATAATACACACATCTGGCTTAAAAATAAAATAATATGACAAACTAAGGCTTAGCCTAAGGAGCCCTGGTAGAGCAGTGGTTAAACACTCGGCTGCTAACCTAAAGAGTCAGTGGTTCAAACCTACCAGCCACTCTGTGGGAGAAAGATGTGGCAATCTGTTTCCATAAAGATTACAGTCTTGGAAACCCTATGGGCAGTTCTACTCTGTCCCAGAAGATCACTATGACTCGATGGCAGTGGCAAGTCCCAGCCTACTCATCATTGTAGCTTAAATACCTGGACAGCATGTCGGTCTGAGCCACTGTAGACAGATATCTGCGGCTGCTGCATTCGAGAGGAGGAAGTTGTGATGGTGGTGGTGGTAGTGCTACTGGTTGTTGTTGATACATTAGATGTTCCTGGGTTTGGTTCACTATCCATAGCTGTACTGTTGTCCTTAAATCTGGCAGATAACACAAAGGGTTTGCATTGGTAAAAGCATTATCTTATGAGCTTTACAGAATATCTAATTATTTCAAAAAAAATAATCAGCAATACTCTAAATTTCTAAGAAAGTCCTTGTAAAACACAGATGGCAAATAATCATCATAAACACTCAAAAAAGCACTACGTCACCAGAGCTCCTCACACGTACATAGCATATTCAATACTTAATACCTAAAATAATTCAAATGATTTAGAGCATATAGCCCAAATAAAGCCTGGCATAAAGTTTATCTTGAAGCACTTACTGATGGAGATCAAAAACCACAGCCTTCAGTATGGATTATCCCTCAACATAAAGATAACAAAAATTCTCACCACTAGATCAATAAGCAGTATCATGATAAACAGAGAAAAGACTGAAGTTGTCAAGGACTTCATTTCACTTGGATCTACAATCAATGCCCATGGAAGCAGCAGTCAAGAAATCAAATGATATATCATATTGGACAAATATACCACAAAAAGACCTTTAAAGTGTTAAAAAGCAAAGATGTCACCTTAAGGACTAAGGTGTACCTGACTCAAGCCATGGTATTTTCAATCATCTCAAACACATGTGAAAGCTGGACAATTTAAAAAAAAGACCAAAGAAGAATTGATGCTTTGATTATGCTGCTGGCAAAGAATACTGAATGAGTATACCATGGATTGCCAGAAGAGTGAACAAATCTGTCTTGGAAGAAGTATAGCTGGAATGCTCCTCAGAAGCAAGGATAACAAGACTTCATTTCACATAATATGGATCTGTTATCAGGAGGGATCAGTCCCTGAAAAAGGACATCAGGGTTGATAAAGTAGAGGGTCAGTGAAAAAGAGAAAGACCCTCAACAAGATGGATTGACACAGTGGCTGCAACAAAACTAGGTTCAAATATAGCAATGACTGTAAGGATGGCGCAGGATAGAGTAGTGTATTGTTCTGTTGTACATAGGGTCACTATTAGTCGGAACTGACTTGGTGACACCTAGCAATAACAAAGTTTATCTTGGCATTACTGAAAGAAGATAAGAATTTCAAAACAAAAACAGGTAGTAAAAGAATGTTAAAATACCTAGGAAAATAAAAATTTACATCATGATACTTTAAAACATGTCTTTACATTCTCTTGAGCATACTAATTACAAATAAAAATAATTCTTATCTCTGGTAGCATAGTGCCTAAGGCACTTGACTGCTAATCAGAAGGCTGGCAGTTCAAACCCACCAGCCACTCCTCAGAAGGAAGGTTGGGCAATCTACTTCCGTAGTGTTACTGCCTTGGCAACCCAAGGAGGGGTCGCTATGAGTTGGGTCCGATGGCACATAACAACAACACACACTAGCACTGAATGCCTAAAGACTTGTATTAACTAGCTTGGTTTTGGTTATTACATGTATTTTACTTAAAAAATAAGTTCTATATCTTTTATACATTTCTACTAGCTTTCCCCTATTAGTCTGTAACACTCTCCTTACTACATCTAATAATTTATAAGCAGATTCCTCTGGAGAAATAGAGAAGCAGCTGTAAGTAACTTCTCATATTCTTCCAAAATCTTTTTTTTTTTTAATAAAAAAATTGCTCCAAATTTTTAAAACAGTATTATGTCACTTTCCTCATGTGTACATAGTACAGTATACTTTTCTGTCAACCATTCTGATTTGTTTTCCCTCTGGTAGCGTAATGCCTAAGGCACTTGACTGCTAACCAGAAGGCTGGAGGTTCAAACCCACTAGCCACTCCTCGGAAGGAAGGTTGGGCAATCTACTTTCATAGTGATACCGCCTCAGAAACCCAAGGAGGGGTCGCTATGAGTCGGGGCAGACTCGACAGCACATAACGACAGCAACAACAATATCTCACTTCACTCCTGTTGTAGTACAAAATTCTGCTAAATACAGAAGCCATTTAAACCTCAAAACATTTTAAGTCAATTCTGAAGGCCTCAATTGCTAGACACTAGAACTATAATAGTTTTTGTCCATAATGCACCACAATGGTAACAAGAACACTTCCTATTTCACAAAAAGACAAAACAATTTAGCGCTAATTGTGTACATGCACATTATTCCCATATTGTGTCCATTTACCTACAAATTTTCTTTGTCCTTTATATCCTGTATGTAAACAGTATCTATATGTTCTTAAAGGAACCAATGAAAAATTCTCTATTTAACAAGGGGAAAAGTGAAAGGAAAATGTGTGTGGGGAAAGCCGACTCTTAACTTTTTCAATTAATAAATTACTTATACGTTTTCATGTTTCCCTGGTATTTTTCCCAGTGTTATTCAAAGTGTCTTCCAATCATCACATCACAGCATCGTATGGTAATTGTTCAATATCATCCACAATTAGTGGTAGAAAAGCAAACTTTTTACCAAACTACGTCCTGTCGCAATACTTCTGAAGCACCATATGTAAAAGCCAGCTTAAATTCTGGTAATTTCGGGGAGATGATCTCTTCAAATATACCTTCAAACCCAAACCCCACAGTAAGTAGTTCTCACTACTAATCAAAACTGGTTACAGAGAATTCAAATTTTAAGCACAGGTCTAAACACTGGGGAGTCGGACTGACCAAACTGCATTGCATTTGGAGGAATGGCACAAAAGAACAATTGTGGTTAACTCCATCATAAATGTCTGCAAAATACAACCAGCAGCTCTGGTATACAAGAGGCCTACCCAGGAAACAGTAAGTTTTTGAGTCTCTAAGCATACCATCACATCACCGCCACACAGGAATGTGGCCCTCTAGGGAGGTATCAACTGCAGCCAGAGACCCACGGGAAAGAAGAGCTTCATTCCAGGATGTTTTCCGCCTCACTAGACGCCAGCAGCCCCCGCTGCTCGAAGGCCCATGCTGGGACACCTCCTTCGCGCCTCCCGGGGGAGGGCGGTGGGCAGTCCTACGTCTTGGGTTCTCCGGCCGAGGAGGTGCAGGGTGACTCGGGGCGGGAAGAAGGGGAGTGCGAAAGAGGCCTGGCAATGCCCGCCCTGCCCTCCTCTGCGGGCCCGGCCCCGGCCCCGGCAGCCGCAGTAAGGTTGCCCGCCAGGCCACTTGCAGGGGTGACAGCGCCTGAGGCGCCCACCTGGGGTCATATCCCGGAACGCCCCACTAGTCCGGGTCCCAGGAGTGACCCTGCACGCAGGGCCGCTCCGACAGGGGATCAGACAGCGGTAGGGACACTCCCGCCTGGTGGGTAACTGAACCCTTACAGGATGCCTCCGCCCCCCGACACGGGCCAAGCGGGCTCCTCCACCATAAGGAGGTCCTCCAGTTTCCCTTTCCCCGCACTACCCGCGAAAGAGCCCTGAGATCTCCCCCTGACGGACGTGTCGCTGCCCCCACTCTCCCACAGCTACGACATCAGTCACCAGCAAGTCACTCACTCCGCTTCCGCCATCTTCTCTCCTCCATCACTAACATGGGCTGCGCATGCGCCCCCTCAGCAGCGGGTGGAGGGGCGGGGTCGGCTCAGCCCTGAGCCCCTGAAGTCACATGGGGTCCCCAGTTTCCAATACCCCTCCTACTCTGGGCCCTTTAGCCTTTGCTGTTTCTGGGATGTGCTATGGTTTCCCCAATTTTGAGACCAGTTTCTCTTTTCCAGCTCCTTGCTTTCTCTTGGCCAGGGTCTTCTTCCTGGTGGGGAGGGGGTCTGTAACCAAGATACGAAAAGTTCTGCCTAGATTGCGTTAAATTTTTTTTTCTTTTTAATTAAAAATTTGAAGAAAATCCAAAATATACCAAAATCTCTGCAAACTGCAAAGAAGATGCCACAAGGATTGAACGCTGAGGTCTGAGAGAGAGAGGCAGTGCTTTAGGGGCTGCAGTACTGGTTACTTTGGATGCATTGTAGTTTGGGGGCCTGAACCAGCAGTCCCCTCTGGACTTTCAAAGGTAGTGGTTCAAATGTCCATAAAGTGGGTGATTAAGGAATCATCCTGATTACCCGAGGAATGTATTTCATGCTTTCAGCGTCAATTTACTGAACAATTAAGTAGGGATGGCAACTTGAATACCTTAGGGACTCAACAGGAAGAGCCACCACCAGTTTGCCACAGGTACAGTTTATTAAAGGAACCCTGGTGATGCAGTGGTTAAAGCGCTTCATTGCTTACTGAAAGGTCGGTAGTTGAAATCCACCCACGGTTCCAATCCACAAGCTGCTCCACAGGAGAAAGATGTAGCAGTTTGCCTCCGTAAAGATTTACAACCTTGGAAACCTTATGGGACAGTTCTACTCTGTGCTGTAGGGTCATTATGAGTCAGAATTCAAGCATAAGAAGGGGGAGTCACAGCAATGTCAAGAAGTGAGAAATAAAGTATTGATATAAATCCATCTTAAAGTGTAATGTAGGATAATGAAAAGTGTACTTAATCTTTGAAAATATGTGTTCCAGGATCTGCCTAAAGGGAAAAGAACACTTTCCATGTAAGCTTAAATTGTCTCTTTACTTCCCTTCTCCATTTAATAACATCATTTCTTCACCTTCTCTTCCTATCTGATAGCTGTGCCTTTCCAACTGCTCCTAGGAGAACTTACTCCCCTTTAAAAACTCCATGTAGAATCTTAAAAATACAATATTACTATTGTAATTTTTGTATTACAATAGTAATATTACTATTACTTTTATTGTCATATGATATCATTGTCATCAACTCTCAAGAATCAACTATCCCGTGACCAACACAGTAACACTACAGAAAAGGAAGACACAGAGAGGTACACAAGAGGTATAGACAACAAAGATAAATACAATTAAATACAAAATACTGAGTTATCAGTAATTGTTGTTGTTATGTGCCGTCAAGTCGGACCCGACTCATAGCGACCCCTCCTTGGGTTTCCAAGGCAGTATCACTACGGAAGTAGATTGCCCCATCTTCCTTCTGAAGAGTGGCTGGTGGGTTTGAACTGCCAGCCTTCTGGTTAGCAATCAAGTGCCTTAGCCAACAAACATAAATCTACAGGTGTATACATATAGGTAAGCATGCTAAATGATCAGGTATGTCTACACAAAAGGGAATATACCCATGATCATATATAAGGAGTTCTGGTGGCATAATGCCCAAGGGATTTGACTGCTAACCAGAAGGTTGGTGATTCCAACCCACCAGCCACTCTGCAGAAGGAATACTGGGCAATCTATTTCCATAAACCATAAAGATTTACCACCTTGGAAACCGAAAGGTCACTATGGGTTGGAATCGACTCAATGGCGGTGAGTTTTATATGTGTGTGTGTGTATACATATATATATATATTTGATAGACAGTATCTCTACATATATATTTGTATGTGCTATAAGAATGTCCATATACATAAGAGAGCTAGTGGGGCAAAGGAGCTCTGGTGGCATAGTGCCTAAAGAAATTGACTGCTAACCAGAAGGCTGGCAGTTCAAACCAACCAGCCAATCCTTGGAAGGAAGGTTGGGCAATCTATTTCCATAGTGATACCACCTAAGAAACCCAAGGAGGGGTCACTATGAGTCGGATGCGACTCAACAGCAGTGAGTTTGGTTTTTGGTAAAGAGGCAAAGTTATGAAAACTTTTTAGCCACAGACAAACACTCTGAGGGAGTGAGTCACAGGGCCCACGGGCTTGGGACCATGGTCTTAGGGGACATCAACCTCAAATGGCTTGATATAGAACAAGATCATTGTTCAACAACCTACTTTAGAGACTAGCAACTGGGGTCTTATAAGCTTGCAAGTGGCTACCCAAGATGCAACAATTGATCTTTCCTCGTCTGGAGCAAAGACGAATGAAGAAAACTAAAAACTCATGGAAAAAAATTATTCCAAGGGACTAGTAGACCATGAAAACCTCAGCCTTCATGACCCTGAGACCAGAAGAACAAGATGGTACCCGGCTACCACTGTTAACCACTCAAAAAGGGATCAAAGTAGATCATGGATAGAGTAGGAGAAAAATGTGGAACGAAACTCAAAATCATAAAAAAAAGACCAGACATATTTGTCTGATAGAGACTGGTGAAACCCCAAGACTGTGGCCCCTAGTTACCCATCAGGCCTGGAATTGAACTTATTCCTGTGGCTTCCAGGCAAATAATAGACAGGCATATACGGTTAACAGGTAGGTGCACTCCTTAGAACAATCAACCATGGGAGATAAGAAGGGCATTATTTGCACAGGGAAATAATTCAGAGGGCAGGAATGCATAGGAAAGGACACAGGGAAAAGGTAACCACAGGGAGGAAGCAGGAAGAGAGTTGTTACATTATGGGGACTGCAATCAGTGTCATGAAACAATGACAATGAATCAATGTCATGAAACAAAATGTTTCATGAACTGTTGTATGAAAAAATGAATTTACTCTGTAAACTTTCACCCAAATCAAAATTTTTTAAAAATCAATTATCCGTTGGTATTGCTAAAACTATTGTTTAGAAAAACCAATGTGAAAAAAGCAGTTTTCAACCTAAAAGTGGAAAATGCATAATTCAAAGAAATACTGTTGTTGTAAGGTGCTGTTGAGTCAGGTCCAACTCAAAGTGACCCCATGGGCAACAGAATGAAACACTGCCTGGTCCTACACCAGCTTCACAATCCTTCTTATACCTGAGCCCATCATTGTAGCCACTGTGTCAATTCATCTCATTGAAAGTCTTCCCTTTTTCACTGATCTTCCACTTTGGCATGATATCCATCGCTAGGAAATGGTCCCCTCTGACAATGTGACCAAAGTAGGTGAGACAAAGTCTGGCCAATCTCACTTGCAAGGAGCATTCTGGAATAAATAAATCCCAGTTGTTCCCTTTTAATCCTCCTTTCCCTTGAACACTTAAGGCCTATATGTATATTTTCACCTCATGCAGATTGGCTTTAAAAGTCAAAATAGACAATATATTATGTAAAATAAGATCAGTATTGCTTCTTAGAAACAGGTTGAAACTCAATTGTTGTTGTTGTTAAGTGCCGTCGAGTCGTTTCCGACTCATAGCGACCCCATGCACAGCAGAACGAAACACTGCCCGATCCCGCACCAG